AGACACTGAACTTTCCTTATAGAGATTCATTGATTCAATTCATCTCTATAAGGAGATGCTGACTGGCCAGGGCTGTGTTTGAATCCTGCTGGCTCTGCCCCTGATCTGCCTCCTTGTCAATCTCAGCCAATCCTATGAGGAAGCACTGTGATTGGATCAGGCTACCACATGTCAGTAGACTTCTTGGTTTTTCTGAGTCTAACAGCATGCAGATTTACAGCTTCAGGCTTGAATACAGTAATATTTTTACTATATTTATGGAGGCATGACGGGCCCGGGGGGCTAGATGGTGGTGTTAACACTATAGGGTCAGGAATACACGTTTGTGTTCCTGACCCTATAGTGATCCTTTAAGTGTCATTTACTGGGGTGAGGGAACAGACCTTTATACTCAGATAAAATATCTTTAGTGTTTTCCTATAAACACATTATTTGCTCATGCTGACCAGCAGTATGTGAAAACTACTATCCCTTAGTATGTTTACCTGAGTAATGTTCCTTGCGCAGATTGCAATTTAAAGATCCCAAAAAGTATTCTTAGATACAGCATGATTTCTATCTACTACAGGACAGAACCTTCCATTTACTGTCCAACTGTAAGAACAAATGTTATGTGATTAGGAAACTAAGAGGCCCAATGAGTGAATAAAACCGGTGTAAATATTACAATGCATTGTGTTTGGGGGGGGAGGCAGCAAGGAACCCATGCGTCATTAATTCACTTACTGCACAGTAAGTGGGCGTTGTTCATATCTATCGTATCATACATTCAGTACAATGTAAGGGAAAATAATAAAAAATCTGATTTAGAATATGTTCTGTATATGTAAATATAAGTGTCACAAGTTTTTTATCCTAATGATGAATGAAACACTTAATTGCTAAAGGAAATATTAATTAATACTTGCCTCTACTCCATTGATGTCAGTGGTAATAATTTCTGTGAATGCTAACATTACCCTCTTCAGACAGACTTAAAATTCAACCCCTCCATTGTGTCTGATCCTGCTGGTGAGCACATACCCAGTTAGAGCAATGATAAAGTAATTGGCAATTCTTTGCCAATGCTTTTGAATCAGAATCGAATGTCATCTGTCACTATGTGCCTATATTCAAACAACAAAAACCAAAATCACAGCAAATTGAGCGCAGTGATATAGTAAACATTCTGAAATTATTTTTATTTTTTTATTATTCCCAGCACAATAGTATTGGCAACTCATTAGTACAATATAAGATTGTATTAAAATTGTCCTATGCCCACTCCAATTGAAATAAATGCAGTGATGCTGTGATTCCTACCTACTTGCAGATCTTTTTGCCCAAGAGAAACATGAAATACGCATAGCAGGAGGGGCTGTGCGAGATCTCCTTGTGGGGAACCAGCCGCATGATGTAGATTTTGCAACGACAGCAACCCCTGATCAAATGAAGGCGATGTTCCTCAAAGCTGGGATCCGAATGATAAACAACAAGGGCGAGAAGCATGGAACAGTTACTGCCAGGGTGAGATGTTCATACTGGGTTTTTTTTTTAAGAGACACCCCACACACTTAAAACACTTTATATTGCGGAAGTGCTTTATGTGTGCAGAGTTTGTTCTATTTTGCAAGGCACCTGCAAAATAGCTGCATTGAGCAGTCTGTGATTGGACAGCCACAGACTGGCTGGGCTGGGTTTGAAGGGAAGGGCTTGCAAAGGCAACAGACAAGAAGATATTTGCAGATATTGCAATCTGTTTTGAGATATACCCCCAATCAAGAAAAAAGAATCGTAGTTCAACGTTTGCACATTTTCATTGGGACTATATCTAATTGTTAAGAAATAATAAAATAACTTTTTTCAATTGAAGTGTTCCTTTAAATAATAGGAGCCTATAAAAAGTCTGATTGAAAGGAACATTATAGTGACAGGAATACAAACATAAGCAACTTAAATGGTGAATATACTCGCCTTTATACCTGTGCCGCCCAGAGAAAGCTCCACTCCGCCTCCCTGGCTGATATCAAAATTGGTGATCTCAGCCAATCCAGAGGCTATTGCACATGCACGGCAAAACCCCACACTGCGCCAATTAGCATATCCTCATGTTTCTGTGCGTCAAACATGTCTGGTTACAATTACATGTTTGTTAGTCCACCCATTGTAAAGCACTTCAGAATTTGTTGGTGCTATATAAATATAATAATAATAATAGACCATACCTCTATTCCCTCTAACATGTACATTTTCTTTTCTGGTTTCCATTTTCCCAATGTACCCTGCATACTCTACTTCACTGCACCATTATACATATTGTGTGTTCTTTATCCAACTCTTGGACTACTTTTTGTTTTTATGGTGTTGGGAAGAGAGAGGTGCTGCTAGAACAGGCTTGGTTTTGGGGTAATAGATGATGGCCACTAGTAATGTCCCATTACTTTTTTCATCAACACTGCTCACATTCTACACGTAACCTGCATCTACCATCAAATATACATCATGTGCCCGTATAACGTCACCCCCAGGCATAAAAGGGGGTTAAAAGCCGTTTAGTAGATCTTCCCTTCCAGAGACACAGGCACAGCTACCGTAGACACCAATACACCGAACTGGAGAACCATATGAATGCCGTAAACAGCCGAATAGGAAAAACCATACGAATAGGTTTACACTCCTAGCAGTCGAACTGGAACAGCATACAATAAATCCCCCCCAAGAACAAGACAAGGCTCTGTTTTGAGGGTCAAGCAGGAACAGACAGAGCTGTGATTTTATTGTTCTTATATACACATTCTTACACATTAGTACAACCCACAGGGTTTTGGAAAACAACCAATAAACACGTACAATACACTCAGACACTCTCACCCAAAATACTCCCCTCTGCCTGTGATACTGTTACCTTACACAATGGGTAATGTAATTATCACAGGTAGAGAAATACAGTTTTTCCACATTCATAATTTTAAAAGTTTGCATCACAAAAAACTTACATTTTTGAGAATCAGCATACTCCAAATACAAACATACATCAAAATCATACAAATTGGTCCAGTGGTTCAAAAGATAGATCGTAGTCCTTTGTGACCAAATGAAGCATGGCTTTTCTGCCCAAAACCAGTTCCACAGAGTATTCTATCCTGGAGATAATTGGGAAGTAATCCAATTATCTCCAAGGACAGAGGCAAAACTCCATTGAACACATGGCAGCAAAAGACAATAAAATACATAAAAGTATATAACTGTGCAGCCATTGCATAAAACAGGTACATTCAACATATCCCCAGATAGCTCAGATCTGAGCGCACATTATTACTGAATGGCGCTCAGATCACATACATACAGTTCAATTGCCATGGAGCCAAAGTCTTTCACATAGTCTTTCATTATACAAATGGGCTCCATGGCACAGCTATCTGGGGTATCACCGCTCAAACAGGGCAAGCACTGAATGACCCGGCTTTCGTGTCTTTGCAGGGGAAAATCAAGCGTTTCAACATGGGGCCATAGTCTAAAGGGAGCAGGCGGGCAACCAGGCTCTTCCAATGCAACGCTTAAATGATGATTTTCTCCTTATGGCAATAACACTGTTCTGCATTATTGTCATTCGACACACAAGTCCCATTTAGTTGTATTCTTATAATTAATCAGTTAGGCGCTACAAAAGAGTTTATATTATCCTGGTTCGGTAACTATTGAGATATCAAAACAAACCAAATTTAGCTATCCATTACATATTACAATAAAGTGGCAATTTTTATAACTCCTTTTATCTAAACCTAAGTGAAGCTTAATAAATATCTGTGTGAGGTTAAAACTGTTCCTTTTTTTTGTAAGCATCAAATAAAAGAACATTGAGTTTATTTTTTAGGAATATTAACATTTGTATTTTGTCCTATTGTTAGTTTTATCAACTCTTGTGTCTTTTCAGATCGATGATCAAAACTTTGAGATCACTACCCTGCGGGTTGACTTGCAAACAGATGGACGCCACGCAGAGGTGCAGTTCACCACAGACTGGAAAGGCGATGCAGAGAGACGTGATCTGACCATAAACTCCATGTTTCTGGGTAATACATCGTCACAGACCGAAACATAGCACCATCCGCAAGGGGGTAACTATCAGGGTAATCAGCTGTGCAGCTTCTTTGGTACTGTGATTTGATTTACTTCATTACACAATTAAGACACTTTGCACCTTCGAAAATCTTAAAAAAAAAAAAAAAAAAGTGAGGCATTTACACAAATACATTGCTCCAATGGATACACAGATAGAAGTCACGGCTCCCTTTAATAAATCTGGAAGACTGACCATAAATAAAAAACAACTCACATTCTGTGATGTACCAGAGTCCATATATCCTACCTCATAAGACGTCAGCCTGCAAAAATTGCAAGTATAAAATGCAAGAATTATGGTCTCCCTATGAGCTTTTAATGTTTAACTCATATACACAAACAGTTTGAGCGCCATAACTAGGAATCCATTTTTCCCCTTTCTCTATGATTTGCCTATTTCCTTTCTGTTACTCATCAGGATTTGATGGGACCCTGTACGATTATTTTAATGGCTATGAAGATTTGCAAAAACGATGCATTCGATTTGTCGGAGACCCAGCTCAACGTATTCAGGAAGATTATCTTCGAATTCTGCGATACCTTAGGTAAGATGAAAGTTCTGTAGCTTTACTATTGTTCTATCCTATAACCTCTGGGAGAATGGAATTTCTTCTGTGGAATTTCCTTGAGTTGTTATGATTTTTCTCTTTTCATTCTTACTGCCTGGATGTAGGTTCTACGGAAGAATTTCAGAAAAACCTGGAATTCATACAACTGCAACACTGGATGCTATCAAAGAGAATGCCCCAGGCCTAAGTGGCATCTCAGGGGAACGAATTTGGGTGGAATTGAAGAAGATCCTAGAAGGAAACCATGTGAACCACTTGATTCAAATAATTTATGAACTTGGAGTGGCACCTCATGTGGGTGGGTATTATTTAAGAAACATTAAAGAAACACTATAGGTCAGGAACACAAAATATAGTAAAATCATACATATAATCCAGTCTGCTGCTGCTGGTTCTGCCCCTGACTCGTCTACTTGGCTGACATTATCATAAGTAGTGATATAAGCCAATCACAATGCTTTCCCATAAGAAAGCATTGGATTGGGTGAGACTGTCAAGGAGGTAGATCGGGGCAGAGGTAGTACAAGTTAAACCCGGCCCGGCAAATCAGCATCTCCTCACAGAGATGCATTGAATCAATGCATCTCTATGAGGAAAGTTCAGTGTCTCCATGCACAGGATGGAGACACTAAATGTCAGTCTCGAGGAAGCACCTCTAGAAGCCATCTTTAGGAGTGGCCAGTGGAGATGGCCCTAGGCTGTAATGTAAACACTGCATTTTTCCCTTCAGATTAGAGGCAGTGCTTTACAACAGGGGATTTCTAATCAGGAGAGAAAAAAACAGGCAGGCAATCCCCAAAATTTTCAAGAACCTCCCCCAATTAACCTTTGGCACTATAAAGTGCCTCTTACCTAAGACAGCCCAGTCCTCTGCCTGCCTTCGGCAGAGGATGGTGTAAGGTGAGACGGCTGAGGCTCTGCTTTTTTTTTTTTCTGACATCTGCCAGGGATAAGCACGCTGGACGTCTGCATCTCCCCTGTTTGTATTTGCTTTCGTCTGTGACATGCAGACGATGGTTCGCTTGCGTGCGCTAGCTGGGAGGTCCTGATAGTGGAACACAAGTACAGGTTGCGATGCTTTCCATCATGGAACGCGTTGCACATGCGCAATGCGATTTCAAAATTCAGGCGCCAAAATTATTTTTATATTTATTTTTTTCTACCTGCTTCAAAATTTTGGTTTCAAGAACTTAGAGAGGCTTTTTACCCAGCAGCAACTAACTGTTTGCCAGATGCACTCAGAATCTGTTGTAAGTGTGTTCTCACCTTCCCTCCAACACACTTTGAGGCCATTTAAGGTAAGACTTTTTGCTTTTATCTTAAATGAGAATAGCCTGAATTGTATTTCATTTAATCTGTGCTGTATGTTCCCAACCCAGTTATAATCGTTAAACAAAAAAAGCACAGATAATACTAAGAACAATGGTAAAACTATAATAATGTATTAGCTGCTAAAAACATAAAAGATTATTTCTTAAATCATAGTGCATTGAAAGTGTAAGCTCTTAGTAGATCGGTCCCATAGTAGATTCTAATAGGTTCTTATTTATATATATATATGTAACGGATCGCCTGGCACCCCGACTGGGTACCTCCGTTGAAGGATGCTCCTAGCACTTCCTGAGGACTCCAAGCACTGCAGCAGACACCAAAACCACCGAACCGTAGGAGCATATGAATGCTCTCAAGCATGTGAATGCTGTAGACAGTTGAATAGGAACCATACGAATAGGTTTACTCTCCTAGCAGTCAAACTGGAACAGCATACAATAAATCCTTTCCCCAATAATGAGACGACACTTCACTTTGAGGGTTAAAACAGGAACTCTCTGTACTGTCACATACAGTCTCTTTTATTCCCAATCCACAAACATAGTACAGCCCACAGGGCGTTACAAAACAACCAATCACATATAAGTTACATCCCACATATTCCCTCCCTTATCCTGAGAGGAAACTCAATTACACATACAGTTAAAACATACTTTCTACCCAACTTTCATAACTCTAAAACCATACATCACATTCACATAAAATTACATATTCACAATCAATCCATTCAGGGGAACAACATATTAAAAAATGGCATGAATCAGACCAGGGGTTCAAAAGTTAGTAAAAAAGTCCTTTGTGACTAAATGAAGCATGGCTTTCTGGCCCAAACCAGTTTCAGAGTCTTCTATCCTGGAGATAAGTAATTCAATTATCTCCCAGGACAAACACAAGACTCCATTAAGCACATGGTTGCAAAAAGACACAAAACACTTTAAAATACATAAAGTAACCTTTTCCCATAACACACAGACATTTCACATATCCCCAGATAGCTGGGATCTGAGCGCACAAAACTACTGAAGAGCGTTCAGATCCTATTCACACAGTTCAATTGCTATGGAGCCGAAGCCTTTAACTACACAAATGGGCTCCATGGCATAGCTATCTGGGTTAACACATTCTCATAAAGTCTGGTCCATAGTCCAAAGGCAAGAGGCGGGCAAGCAGCCCCCTCCAAAGACACGTGGCGAGGCCGGTTTCGCCACAATATATATATTGGCAATTTTTGTGCAGAGCCTAAATGTCTATGCACACTTACCCAATGGTGTGCAAGATATAAATTTAGAGTATTAGATAGGAATATACCAATAAATATAAATTGTATAAAATAATAAAGGTTTAAAAAAAAAAAAAGTATTCCTAACTATTGCTATAAATAGCTGCTAACACAGTATAAATAATCTCTAAATGATGCAACAGAGTCAGTGAGATATAAAAGAGTAAAGTGTTCCTGTGGAATATATTACCACTCCTTCAGAGGCAGCAAGACCTGTATGGCAATTGGAGGCTTAACCGCTGGATGATATCTTTATGGAGGCTTATAATTTAAAAAACTTGTTCTTGTGTTCAGATTGATACTTTTGTAGCGGATGGATCTGTTAAATGCCAGAATCCCTGCTGCAGTGAAAGTTTCTTAGAGCAAGCAGTAGGCTTTAGTAGGCACTGTAGACAAATCTCTGAAACTCTGTTGTAATTAGCCTTACCTCCACTTCAACATGTTTCACCTGATCTCAGTTTCTTAAAGATGTAGTCTGTTTTCTGCTGAGGCAGAACTTTTCCTGTGCTTCACTCTAAGGTTGCACGTTTGAGGTTTTCTGTGGTTATTTTGTAAGTTTTATGAAGTTTTAATTCAATGTCCTTTTAAAATTATTCCTTGGACCACAGTATTAGGAATTCTCTATTACATTTTCGTCCTCTTTAACCCCTTCCCGACCGCGGATGGATCAGGTACGTCTGGCAGAAAACTGTCCATAATGACCTTTGACGTACCTGGTACGTCCACAGCTATTTTGAGCCCTGGAAGCTCTGATAGTATTGCAGTGATGCTCTGCATGTGCTGAGTGCCTCTATGGGTCCTGCCACTCAGTGCATATATAATAATATATAAAAAAATATATATAAAATGATCAATATTATCCCCCCTCCCCCTTTCTAAAGGCAGTGAATCATGGGGCTTCTGGGGGTGTCCCTAGCATGCCTCATCATAAGGGGCAGGCTGGGGTCATCCAATCACAGCTTGCTCCATTAGCAATTTCATCCCAAGTGTGTTCCCCATTTCTCTGATTAGTGTGGATCTGCCTCCCTCTCTTCACTTGTGTTTTAGTGAGAGAGGGAGAGAGATCTGTGGTTTAGCTAGAGAGATTTAGGTATTTATAGGTAGGGATTTGTAAAATCTTGAGACCCAAAGGCTCTTTGCAGAGCCATTAACCCCTGTCCTGCCAGTGATCACTATACAGATCACAGGCTCTTGCACAGCAGCACTTATTTTGCTGTCTGTTCATTTTTATAGGGGTTAAATTTTTATTTTATTTTTTGTGTGACAGGTCACTATGTAAAGTGATTGTGATCATGTCACATGGGTCACAGAAGTCAACCAGCGCTGAGCAGTCATATGCCACTGTAACGGATCACCTGGCACCCCGACTGGGTACCTCCGTTGAAAGATGCTCCTAGTGCTTCCTGAGGACTCCAAGCACTGCAGCAGACACCACAACCACCGAACTGTAGGAGCATATGAATGCTCTCAAGCATATGAATGCTGTAGACAGTTGAATAGGAACCATACGAATAGGTTTACTCTCCTAGCAGTCAAACTGGAACAGCATACAATAAATCCTTCCCCCAATAATGAGACGACACTTCACTTTGAGGGTTAAAACAGGAACTCCCTGTACTGTCACATACAGTCTCTTTTATTCCCAATCCACAAACATAGTACAGCCCACAGGGCGTTACAAAACAACCAATCATATCACAGTTACATCCCACATATTCCCTCCCCTTATCCTGAGAGGAAACTCAATTATACATACAGTTAAAACATACTTTCTACCCAACTTTCATAACTCCAAAACCATACATCACATTCACATAAAATTACATATTCACAATCAATCCATCCAGGGGAACAACATATTCAAAAATGGCACAAATCAGACCAGGGGTTCAAAAGTTAAGGGAAAGTCCTTTGTGACTAAATGAAGCATGGCTTTCTGGCCCAAACCAGTTTCAGAGTCTTCTATCCTGGAGAGTAATTCAATTATCTCCCAGGACAGACACAAGACTCCATTAAGCACATGGTTGCAAAAAGACACAAAACACTTTAAAATACATAAAGTAACCTTTTCACATAACACACAGACATTTCACATATCCCCAGATAGCTGGGATCTGAGTGCACATTATTAGATGAATGGCACTCAGATCACACAAATAAGCCTTTCTGCCGGGAAATAAACAGTTTAACCTGCAGGGCCATAGTCCAAAGGGAGCAGGCGAGCAACCAGGCTTCTCCAGTTCACAGTGGCGAGGTTGGTTTCGCCACAGCCACCCTTGCGCTAGAGTCTGATGCGTCTATGTCAGACTCTGACCCTGATTTTTGACCCTGCCAGGTGCTCAGATACATAATCACTAGATACAGTGTATGCTGCTAGTGCTGTACCTAGTGATGTTGTATCTGTGCCTGCTAGTCCCCCTGCCAGAAGGAGACTTGCTGCTCCAGTTAGCAGAACTGCTGAGGAGTGGGTAGTGCCTCATCGCCAGAGGCCAGACATCCCATCCTTTACTGCAAATACTGGCATTAATTTGGATGTCACAGGATTTAGCCCTCAGCAGTTTATGGAGGTGTTTCTGGGCGATGATGTATTGGGGAACATTGTCACCCAAACTAATTTATATGCCCATCAATTCTGAGCTACAAATACTGACTCTTTTTTTTGGCAAAGCGGCAATGGGCCCCCATCGATGTGCCAGAATTTAAAAGATTCTGGGCATTGATTATGCTGATGGGCATCATAAAGAAGCTCTCCATCCGCTCCTACTGGAGCAGTAGCCCCATCTGCTCTACCCCCATTTACTCCCAATGTATGTCGAGAAAGAGGTATGAAATGATTCTGCATTTCATGCACTTCAGCGACAACAGCCTGTGTCCCCCTAGGGAGCATACCCAGTTTGACAGGCTGTATAAAATCCGCCCCCTGATTACCTACTTCGCTGCCAGATTTGCAGAGGCTTATAAACCTGGAAGGAATATATGCGTTGATGAGTTCCTGATGAAGTATAAGGGAAGGCTGGGATTCAAGCAGTATGTTCCTTCCAAGCGCTCTGGGTATGGTGTAAAGATGTATAAGCTCTGTGATAGCGAGACTGGGTATACTCAGGCCTTCCGGGTGTATGAGGGAAAGGATAGCCACCTTGACCCTCCAGGTTGCCCAGAACATATGGGAACCAGTGGCAAGATTGTCTGGGACCTGATATTCCCCCGATGAACAAAGGGTACCACTTGTATACTAACAATTTTTATACGTCCCTTTGTTCAAACTACTTTACTGTTTTAATACAGTAGCTTGCGGCACAATTAAAAAGAACAGCATGGGTTTCCCAGGACAACTTGCACGTACCCGGCTACGAAAGGGGGAGACCTCAGCTCTGCGCCAAGAGGAGCTGTTGGCAGTTAAGTACAGAGACAAGAAGGATGTGTACCTTCTTACCACCATCCACACTGAGGGGACTGTGGAGGTCCCTGTACGTGGCAGAGCTGAGAGAACAAGGAAGCCAGTGTGCATCAAGCCCTATAACCGGCATATGGGTGGGTTTGATCTGGCAGATCAGCTGCTGCAGCCCTACCTAATTATACGAAAGACAAGGGCCTGGTACAAAAAGGTTGCAATCTACCTAATGCAGATTGCAACCCACAACGCTTTCTTGTTGTTCAAAAAAGCAAACCCCGGGACGCAACTGAGATTTTTACAGTTTCAGCTCCAGATCATTTCAGGGATTTTGTACCGTGATGCACCTGCTCCCCGGGCGGTGATGGGAGAGAGCAGAGTTGGGGCTACACATTTTATTTTTAAAATTCCCCCTAATGCGGCAAAGCAGAATCCCCAAAAAAGATGCAGGGTTTGTTCTAAGAGGGGGCAGAGAAAAGATAGTGTATATCACTGTCCTGATTGCCCTGGACAGCCTGGACTCTGCATTGGAGACTGCTTCAAACGATATCACACGCTGGTCCATTTTTAATTTATTTTTTAACATTTGCCGTTCAGTTTTTTTTTTGGTGTCTTTTTTCTTTTTTTTTGGTTTTGTTACATTTACCCCATGCATGGGGGGCATGGGTGTCCTTAGGAGCCCTTGCAGAAAACAACCTGGGGTGTTTTCTTGCAATAACCAACAACGGGCTCTCCTAAATCACAGTCAAAAAGCAGTGTGCGTGTGTAAAAATGAGGATTGAACAGTTACCTCCACACATGTTCAACTTTTTTTGACTAAAATTATTGCATCTAAGGCATCAAAACACTCCATATACAATACTGCGGGGTGTCAACTTTTCAAATATATGCACGCTCATGGCAACAAAAATACATTGGGATATCTGATAAGGCCCCCAAAAGGAAGATAGGCAAACAAGATATGTAAAATTTGAAAAACGCATATCAGACATTTTGCTTTGCACCCCCCAGTGAACCCGACACACGTATGCATGGGTGGTATCGCTGTACTCGGGAGATGTTGCCGAGCACATATTGGGGTTCCTTTGGCAGTAACAACTAACAGGAGCTTAGAATCTATGCCCAAAGTAGAATGTGTGAGTGAAAAATAACACCACAAAAACGTTTGACAGAGACTGGTGGTAGAATTAGTGCATGTAAAGTGTTGAAATGCCACCATGTGAAATGCCCTAGGGTGTGTACTTTTCAAAAACATACGGTTTGATGGAGGTGAATGACATTGGCCGGCTTCAGAAATGTTCCAACCTGGACATGGGTGCATGATGGCCAGCTGTGTTTTATTTTTCCATTTTTCATCATATTTTACTTTTTTTTTCTAGTAAATTATATGATATGATGAAAATAATGGTATCTTTAGAATGAACATTTAATAGTGAGAAAAATGGTATATAATATGTATGGGTACAATAAATGTGTAAGAGGCAAATTACATCTAAACACAACCACTGCAGAAATGTAAAAAGAGCCCTGGTCCTTAACGGTAATAAAATTGAAAAATGGCCTGGTCACTAAGGG